TTCCTTCTCTCTGTAACATCAGAGTAATACGTTCCTTTATCTAATTATTTCCTTAGTTTTCTTCATCTCCTATGATTAATTTATACCTCGATTTTGGGCTCAGCTTTCTTCATTTTCTTAAATTGGAAAATTAATCTAGAGATTAATATAATTGTAAAGTATGCAATTGTATCAGCTCTTCTGACCTCTCATTAGATGGATTATATGAAGTTTTGAGTTAATTTGTGAGAATTATCCCATAAATAGTGTAATGAAGACATGGACAAAGTATGTTTTTGAGGCATTATTTTTAAAAAACCATTATGACTTAATGAAATAAATTTATCTTCCCAGCTTTTAAATTAGAAGATTAACACTTACCACATATATCAACATAATTATCTTTTTCTCCTCAAGTTACAAGTTTATCAGGTGAGTGTAGAGAGTTGGAGAGATGGTGAGGAGGGTTTACTGTATTTTTCTAACCCCTGGTCATGATGAAGCACCCCCGTATCTATTGTTGTCATGTGGCTTTGTATATTTTGGCAATGAATACCCCACAGTCTTGGTGGTTGATTTACTCAGAGTTGGCCTTTGGTGGATGACACCCTTCTCCAGAGATACAGACTATCACAAAGGTAAGAGTAGAAAGGCTTGCCTATTCCAGAGTGGATTTTCAAGTCCTCTCACATGGTCCACACCAATGATATGTAACCACCAGAATACATGCCACTCTCTTTGTTCCTTCCCATTTTAAGGCTTTTCTTATCAATGAACTTTATTGATCTTACTAGTGACTAACCCGTTTATCATTTTGGACAATTGTTCTCATGTGAGAATCAGCTATGAGCATTTAAAACCAATTAAAAACCAATGCTTTGTATTGATTGGTTCAATTTGGGATGGGGTGAAGCCCAGGTACTGGTATTTTGAAAACCATCTCAGGTAATTCTCACATGCAGCCAGGGTGGAGAACCACTGATTTTAGGTTGCAGGATATACCTCACTGATTTATCAACCTTCTTGACTTTCTTTATATGTAGACTTTCACCTTCATCTCAAACTTCCCCATTCCAGTAGATGGCACTTCCATCTATATAGTTTCTCAAATTAAAACCTGAGATTCATTCTTCTTTCTCTAGACCCCCATCACCAACCAATTCATTAGGAAGTACTGTAGACTCAACATATCCATCTATTTTTCCTTAGCTCCATTGCTTTTCTTTTAACCCAGACCATCTTCTTGCCTAACCTGGACCACTGAAATTTCCTTACTGGTTTCTCCTATTCCAACCCTATATCATCTTCCACAAAGTTCTTAACTTTTAAAAGTTGGTCTTAAACTTTTTGTTATAAAATATTTCAAACCTTTAGATAAGAAAAGAACATCAAAGTTTATAGAATTTTAGCACTGTACTACATTTGCTTCACAGTTTTTTTTTTAAAGAAGGAAAATTGTGTTGTTAGAATTGAAGCCTCCCTCTACCTCTCCCTTATGCTATTTCCTCCCTTCCTCCCTGGCGGTAACCACTTATATCAATTTAGACTTTATTATTCCCATGCATGCATTATACTGTTGCTGCATGTATGAATCCATACATAATATTTAGTATTGTTTTTAAATTTTGATGGTATTATATAGATGGTATCAGATTGCAACTTGTTTCATTTAGCATGTTTTTGATGTTTGTTCATGTTAATACAAGTAGCTTTAGCTTATTCCTTTAAATTGTATAGTATATCAAAACAAGACATCATAATTTGTTTATCTTTCTATTGACCAATATTCAAATGATTTCCAGTATTTTTCTTTTCATACTTGATGTTGCAGTAAACATTTGCGCATCTCTCTTCTGTACATGTACAATAGTATCTCTAAATATATGTCACGGAGTGAAATGTGGGGCCTTAGGGCCTTTTCAACTTAATATTTTGCATAATTACAACACAGTCTTTAAAAAAAAAACCCACCTATCACTCAGGAAAAGTGTTGTGGAACACCTCTAGTAAGCCAGTATGAAGTAGTAAATGAGAAATAAAAGCTTTGCTCTCTCAGATCTTATATACCAGTGGTGGGAGAACAAATAAACTGAGATGATGATTTCAGAGAATGCTAAGTGCTGCATAATGAGTCATACCATCCTTCTGCTTCAAGATCTTCAGTGATTTTCCATTGCATTTAGGAATAATGTAACTCCTGTCTGGTCCTGTATGACTTGGTACCATCTGGCCCCTGCCTTCCTCTTCCATTTTCCCTGTGGCTTCCTGTGCTCTTGCCTTTGACCTTTGAGTTTTTGGAAATTACTAAGCTTTTTCTTGCTTCAGGACCTTCATGTGTGCATTGTTTTCCAGGTTCCTGGAAAGTTTTTCCCACCATTTTTTGACTGGCAAATTATTACTCGTGACTCAAGTCACAGCTTACTTGTCCTGTCTTCAGAGAGAACTTCCTTGATCCCCATAAAAATAGGTTCCTTCTTTTGAGCTTCTCTCGTGGTACCTTGTCTTTTCCTCAGTATCACTTAGCACAATATATGATTATACATTTATATGTCATCTGCCTCATCTACTAAATTTCAAGTTCATTGAAGGCAGGGATGATGCTTCTTTTGTTTCCTGCTGTATCTCCTAGCTCACAGCCTGACACATAATGTTTCCTCAGTGAATGAAAAAAAAAGTAATACAAATTAGTGTTTTTCTGAAAGTTTAGTTGCAGGCTCATTTTGAGCAGGAGATTTGGTTTTGTCTAGATTTTGATTCCCCTCTCTCTTGAGGGCTCTCCTCTCCCTAACTAAGGGTTTAGAATGGCCTCCATAGGCCCCAGACCAGAATCAGGCCTTATTACGAAGAGGGTTCCTGTTCTTTTGATATTGGGGATATCACAGAGGTCTTTTGATATTGGGGATATCACAGAGGTCATAGAAGCCCAGCACTGTTTGGTCTTGAAGTTATCACCTTGTCTGCAGCCAGCCTTCCTAGGCCCTCAGTCAGATAAAATTCATAGCTCTCTATGGTGGTCGACAGCAGTGCTTTGTTTTTGATTTTTAAGCCTCTTTTAACAAGGAAATATCAAGAGCATTGGGAGAAGCCTCACTTCAGCCCCTGGCTTGAAGCAGTGAGCCTGGATCCAGTTTATCTTCTTCCTTGGAATGTTTTTAGTCCCTATTACCCTTTTAGGAGCCAGTCTTTTCTCTCTCTCTCTCATTCTCCATTCTTCCTTCTTTTTTCTCCCTTCCCTTCCCTTCCTTTCCTTTCTTCTTTCTTTTTTTTTTTTTGGCCCACTCAGCATGTGGGATCTTAGTTCCCCAACCAGGGATCAAAACTGTGCCCCCTTCAATGGAAGCATGGAGCCTTAACTACTGGACTACCAGGGAAGTCCCTCTCTTTCTTTCTTTCTTTCTTTCTGCCTCCCTTCCTTCCTTCCTTTTCTTTCTTTCTCTTTCTTTCCATTTGAAAGTAAGTTGAAGGTAGTATGACATTTCACCTCAACATACTCTAGCATGTATATCCTAAAAATAACATTCTCCTACATAATTACAATACCACTATCACACCCAAGAAAATTTATATTGATACAATGATATTATCTAATGTAAAGTCCTTGTTCAACTTTCTCTAATTGTCTCCCTCCCAAATTGCATAACAATTTTCAATGAAGGATCTCACATTTCATTTAGGTTTCAGGTCTCTTCAGTCTTCTTTAAGCCAGCACAGCTCCCATGGCTTTATTTTTATTTTTAATTTAATTCATCTCTCATGATATTGACATTTTTGAAAAGTGCAGGTCAGGCTTCTGAAGGAATGAGCAATAATCTCCATTTTTCTTAATTTTCTTTTCCTGAATGATCAGATTCAGCTCTTTGACAAGAACATTCCACATTCTTTTTTTTTTTTTTTTTTTTTTTGTGGTAC